ATAGCGATCATGACAGCTCATACTTACCCTCAAGATCAATCTATTTTCGATTGATATAACTGCCTGTTTATAGTGATCTCTTAGCTAATGGCGTGATCGTAATGCGCTTGTCTTTCTTCAGACAATCATTGTGACGGTAGCTCACTGGTTTCCTTGGATGGGAATTTACACTGACATCATCCGCCAACAAGATGCTAAAAATTGTATCTCCATTTATGGGTATTTATTTCTATAAGAATAGTGAAGAAACTTATTAATTAAATGGCACAAGGACAGTCTGATTTTGTGAAAGGACATAAACAGATTTTAGTAAAATTCTAAATCCACTACTTCAATGTTACTGCATCAGTAGAGTTCAATTTGTGTGTCAGTTGCAATTAGCTAACAAAACACTAACATCGTCTGAACCGAGGTTTGCAACAATAATATCGACTTTGCTGTCTCCATTGACATCGGCTGCTGCCACCGAAGTCGGGTTAGTGCCAGTTGAATAGGTCACTTGAGCAGCAAATGTACCATTGCCATTGTTGAGGAGAACACCGACGTTGTTTGAAGCGTGGTTTACGACAATAACATCGACTTTGCTGTCTCCATTGACATCGGCTACTGTCACAAAATATGGGCTAGTGCCAGTTGAATAGGTTACTTGTGCAGCAAACGTGCCATTACCATTGTTGAGGAGAACACCCACGTTGTTTGAACCGTCGATTGCGACAATAATATCGAGTTTGTTGTCTCCATTAACATCGGCTGCTGTCACCGAAGACGGGCTAGTGCCAGTTGAATAGGTCGCTTGAGTAGCAAAGGCGCCATTGCCATTGTTGAGGAGAACACTGACGTTTTTTGAACCGGCATTTGCGACAATAATATCGAGTTTGCTGTCTCCATTAACATCGGCTGCTGCCACAGAACGCGGGTCAGTGCCAGTTGAAAAGGTCACTTGTGCAGCAAACGTGCCATTGCCATTGTTGAGGAGAACACTGACGTTGTTTGAACTCCGGTTTGTGATAATAATATCGAGTTTGTTGTCTCCATTGACATCGGCTGTTGTCACCGAAGATGGGTTAATGCCAGTTGAATAGGTAACTCGAGCAGCAAAGGTACCATTACCATTGTTGAGGAGAACACCGACGTTGTTTGAACCGGCATTTGCGACAATAATATCGAGTTTGTTGTCTCCATTGACATCGGCTGCTGCCACCGAAGCCGGGACACTGCCCGTTGAATAGGTCACTTGAGCAGCAAACGTGCCATTGCCATTGTTGAGGAGAACACCGACGTTGGTTGGACCCGCGCTTGCGACAATAATATCAAGTTTGCTGTCTCCATTGATATCGGCTACTGCCACAGCGTGCGGCGAAAAGCCAGCTGAATAGGTCGCTTGTGTCGGAAATCTATTGCATGGAGCTATTGTGAAACAAACATTGTTATTATCACCCATGTAACTATGAAAAACAATTGCCTTACCTGAGTATTGTTTACTTCTAGAAAGTTTATCCCAGCTCTTACAAAGACAATGCGAGAAATATAATAATGCCCACAATTTTGAAATATTTTCTTTTGTCTCTCGCGAAGCTAAATACTTTTTCTTATAGTCTATACAGTTCCCACGAGAAAACAACCACTCTACAATTCTGACTAATTCGCAGTAGTTCTCTTTTCGATTAATACATTCTTATCATCGACTAATCTTCCTCTGGTTTTGTGATACTGCTTTCAATCTTTTATCATTGGAACTAAATTGACTCTTATCTCGGATTCGATCAGATCACCAAAGAAGATGAACCCTTAACCGGCCGAATTCGCAAGATTTTCCTTGGGTACAATTAGTAGGATGGTTGACAACATGCTCTCGATGAACCATGGTCAGAAAACTCTCTTGAAAAGAACTTTAGTTAAATGATACGTGCATTTACGTAAGAGATGGTTGATGATGTACTTCGATGAAGCACTGCGGGAATGATGCAATCAAATGAAATGATTCCCAAAACAACTGTTCTTCTTTCCACCCACCTACAATCGCTCACTC